TCTATTTTTATGTCCTTCAAAACTCCCATGTTTTTCCAAAACAAATTCTCGTTGAGGCCTCAAAGATTATCAGGGGCTCAATGTCCTTAGGTCAACGATCATGTACCCAAGGAGCATCCCAAAAATGGAGTGTACGCCCCATTACCAACGGTGACAGTGGTGGAGGCGTAAAAAAGATCAGAGTCACCGCGCGAAAAAGCGTTGTAACAGCAATCTCAAAAAAAAAAAAAGAGATCACAATACATGGAATCACAAGGATTTCTCATTTCAATCCACATCTTGATTGGCTCCTTCCATTCAAACAAGAAGCCTAAGGGCATCTCCAACGTTGACCCACAAACCACCCGCAATCGTCTAGACCGTGCAGTCTGGACGTGTTTTGCTATCCAGCGCGTGCCTATATCAGTTTGTCGCCCGACTGGGGGAGGGCTTTGGGGAGTTCGGACTGTTGGCACGATTGGACTCCGGCACCCCCGGCCCACTCAAATATGCCTCCCGGTCTCATTATCTTCCACTCCGCCCTTGCTCCCCCTTACATTGTATCCGCACCCTCCTCCTCCTTCTCGCCGCCGTACCTCTTCGGTCGTCACCCAGGCATTGCCGGACATCTGCAACCACCACCCACGCGCCAGCTCGCCTTGTACTACAGCGTCGTCCAGCCAGGATCCGTCTGCAGCCAGGTACTCTTTGCCCCCTATCGATGACGTCCATGGCGGACATCACGCCCAGCAGGTGTTTGATCAAAATGCCATTGAGATTATTTTCAAACATCAAGTTATTTTTTTAGAGTAAGGAGTATGGCGGGTACTCGGTCATGAAGGATGAGCTGTTGTGTGATCCGTGGTTGGTCGTATCTGCGAACTTCGTAGGCAGGAGCAGAAGGGGGCTCTTTCACAGTGCATGGCTCGTTTCATGCGCAAAAGCGCATTGCGCCCTACGACATGCACATCATCCATGAACACAATATGAAGTCATTAGCGTATAGATGGTACACCATACAGAACTCCGCTGTAAAGCATTGCGGCGTAGTTGATCGCCTCGAGGAAATGCGGCCATTGGCGCGGCAACCATCTTGATTGGTTCTTGCATTCACTCATTGTTGCACCGGCGGAAGATGGAGGAGGTAGGAACACCGTGATTTTCCCTGCGGGACCCCGCAGACCATAAAGGTTTCTTTCTTTAGAACAATGAGAATATTAGAAGTAAGAGCGGTTTGCACTCTTTTGTCGGAGGGAAACCGCGAAGACATGCTCCCCTATGCCGTGCTTATAGCAAGACCAAGAAAAACCCTCGCAAGAAGGGGATCCCCAGATCGGCTGGCCCAGGCGCACGCGAGGCCACAACCTCATTTTTTCTTGTATGTTTTCTTTTTATGTTTTTTTGCTTTACTTTTTTTACTTTTGTTTATATTTAAAATATTCTAAATACGCACTACTCTCTCCTTTTCAAAATATAATGCGCTCGTTAACTTTTTTGGTCTTTACCGCACAATTTGACTATAGTTTCACTTGTTGTATGTGTATTAAATTACTATAAAGATATATGAAATAGGATTGTTTTGCAAAAGAAATACGAAGATACTATTCATACATGTTCAATACATGCATTTTGGTATATATTAATCGTCAAAGTCGTGCATCACGTGCAAAGTCAAATGTGCCTTATATTTTGAGAAGGAGGGAGTATGTTACGAAAAAACAATCTACATAAAATATTTTTGTAAAATGTTGACCAAGCATTTGAATTTTTTTTAAATGTGAATGGAAAATAATTGTCGTGTATACTAAAAATGTACAAAAAAACAATGTGTATGAAACTATTTGATCATGTATTTTAAAAATGTTAATCAAGCATTAAAAAAATGATGACCAAGAATTTGAAAAATATTAATCAAGCATTTGAGAATTGATTAAATGTGTATAGAAAAGGCGTTGACCATGTATTAAAAAATGATTATTTTTTATCATGTTTATAAAAGTGTTAATCAAGCATTTAAAAATGTATTTTAGTCACATTTGGAAAAAAATTGGACAAGTAGTTTTAATGTGTATAATTTTTTTTAACCATGTATTAAATTTTTTTTAATCTTGTACTTAAAATATATTAATATTGTATTTTAAAAATGTTAATCAAGCATCTAAAAATGTTATAATATACAAAAAAAATAATATACAAGCATTTAAAAATGTTTAAGATGTGTATAGATAAAAATGTTGACTACTTATGTATTAAAAACATGTAATAGAAAAATGTATTATACATGAACCAAAAATGAATATGTATTAAACAATGTTTAACTTGTACTTAAAAATATTTAAACCTGTATTAGAAAACTGTATTAGATATATGTAAAAAATATGTATAGAAAAACATTGAAAATCCGTGGGAAAAAAACAGATGAAAAACGATAAATAGACAAACAAAACTGAGGAAAAGAAAAAAATCATCAAAAACCAAGAAAGAAACAAGGAAAACCAAAGCCAAACAAAGAAAAAAAAGTAAAATCCTTAAAAGAAACAAAGAAAAAGAATGAAAAACAATAAAGAAACCCCGGAAAGCGAGTGAAAAGCCTGTCTTCAAGTTGTTTGCGCCCTAGCCCTACGTCACGACTTACGACGGAGAGGTCTTGGTATCGAACATGCACACGGTCCAGTTTCTTCACTATTTTCCTTTTAAGTGCACAGTGCCCTAAAAGGCCAGCCGTTTACTGTAGACGCGAGAGAACACATAGCTCTCACATATGAAAACTGAGGTACCCTCTAGGGTCGACGCTGCCCACTTTGGGCCCAAGGCGTTTGTACTCTCTTTTATTTTTGCACATGGACTAGTACTCATTTAAAAAAAATCA